AAGAGAAAAAGAAAGAACTAGAAGAATTAATAAATGAATAAACAAATATATTTATTACATTAGTAACAGCAATTGATAATATAAATCATTGGTAATAATTAAATAACAATTTTTTCTTCAATTTTATATTTATTATATAATATAAAAATTAAAGATTAAATTATATTAATAATTGTATTATAAATAAAATTATTAAAAAAATAAAATAATAATGATAACTATTTATTCATTTTTAGAAAATTATAAAAAATTAATAATATAACAATTGGTTAATTAAAAGACTCTTTTAAGTAAATTATTGTAAACTAAGAAATTATAGAGATTATAATATATATAATGGTAAAAAAGCATTAGAAATATATTTTAGTGAAATTTTATATCTAACAGTTAAGTTTTTATTAAGTTATACACAAATCATTTGTATATTAAAAATTTGTGTAACTATAATTAAAATATATTATTCTATAGTTAACTATCATAAAATATTATGCTTATCACTCATATTAATTAAGAAATTGATAGATCATCATATGTTTAATTATTGATTTTCCTTTTAAATGATTATTTTTTTATATTTACATAAAATTTCATTTTAAAATAAGTTTTTTAAGATTTTCTTATAAGTAAATATAAATATACAATTTTAACAATAAAAATATGTGATTTTATAGAATAAAAAAGATTCTCTTAGATTATAAAATATGTTATTCAATTGGATTTTATATAATATATAAAAAATTGATTTTTTAAATAAAAAAGAATTTTAAATTATAAAAATTTTATAGTGACAAGCACTTAATAAATGTTTTAAATATAAATATAACCTGGTGAAAATAATAACTTTATTAAATAAGTAATTTATCTTTTTCCTTGAATAACTCTATTTTAGCTAATTAGATAATATTAACATTAATAAAAAATACTAAAAAATATGTAGAAGTTTAAGAACAATTAATAAATAATAAGAAAATAGTGATAAATATATTTATTATTAATTTATAATTAATATATTATAGGAAAGTATAAATAAAATTCTTACTGTTTTGAATTATACAAGTCGAATAATGAAGAATCAGGGTATTAAAAGCTAGTTAAGAACTATAGTTATATCAGGCTTTGATTCCTTACTGGCTTTTATTTTTCTAATCATTAAATAATCAAAATTCTGATAGGCTTATGAACTTTACCTTATGAGATATTGATAACTTTTGAAATATATCAGAGTTAAATAGATAAAAAATAGGTTTTCTGATTTAATAATAAATAAATTTCTGATTTGTTATTAAGGTATTGATAGAATTACAATAAATCATCAGAATTAGAGCTCTAAATCAGATTAGGTTAACCTGTTTACCTGACCTAACCTGACCTGAAAATCCAGGTCAGGTCAGTAAATTTTCAGGTTAATGTTAGATTAAGTTAACAGGTCGAACTGACATGACCTGACCTAAAAAAATTCAGGTCAACCAATAATTATTCTTGAATAATATTTTATCGTTCAATTAGAACAATTCATTATTATTCTTAAATAATAGTTTTATCATTTGAGAATGATGTTTTATCATCTGAGAATGATATTTTATTATTTGAGAATAATATTTTATCATCTAAGAATGATAGTTTTATCATTTAATTAGAACAATTCATTATCATCTGAGAACAATAGTTTTATTGTTTGAGAATGATAGTTTTATCATTTAATTAGAATGATTTTGTTATCATTCGAGAATGATAATTTTATCATTTAAGAATGATATTTTATCATTTAATTAGAATGATTCATTATCATTTGAAAATGATAGTTTTATCATTCTTGTACAATAATTTTATCATTCAAGAATATTATTTTAGCATTCAATTAAAATAATGTTTTATCATTTGAGAACAATGATTTATCGTTGAAGAACAATGATTTTATCATTTGAGAATGATAATTTTATCGTTTGAGAATGATGATTTTATCATTTAAGAATGATAATTTTATCATTCGAGAATGATGATTTTATCATTTGAGAATGATGATTTTATCATTTGAGAATGATGATTTTATCATTCGAGAATGATGATTTTATCATTATTTTATTGTTTAATTAGAACGATTCGTTATCATTTTTGAATGATGAGTTACGCTGCCAGACATTGTACAATACAAATAATAATGCAAAATAAAAATTATTTTAGTTAAAATGATCAATGCGTCTTACAATTTATGTGATACAACATTTATATAGAAATTATAATCACCTATCATCTCTGTCGCTTCTGCCATTCAAAATTCAAAATCGCAAGCTTTTACTGCTCAGAAATCAAAATCTCGAACATATTCACCTAATATTACTTTAAGACGAATACATTTATCTGATACTAGTCCAAGAAAATTCTCACCTGCTATTATTCAGGATGATTCATTTACTACTCAAAGGAACAATAGTGTTGTTGAATTGCTACTTTGATCTTATTTAATTTTTTTAATAATATTATGTAATATTATGATTTTTAATTTATAGATATCAAAGCTTTAAACAGAGCTATTGTAAAACTAACAAAAGATGTTTATAACCTTAAAAAAAATTAACGAAGTGAATCATTCACATAAAGAGAAAGAGAATCATTGGGTATCATCATCATGTTTTTGTTATTTTAGAGAATATGACTGAGCAAAATTATAAGTTATTTCATGTAAGCATCAAGCAATTGTTATTTTATTAATATAAATTTAATGCTATTTATTATATTTTGTCGATTCAAGGATGAAGTGATACAAATCCTTTAAGGATTTGATGATTCATTACAATTCAATCCAACCAAAAACTGGAGTGAAATCTCACATCATGTTTCAAAGAATATTATGAAAGAAATTGAAAAAGTTATATCAGAAAGATTTTGATATAAAGAAACAGAATTAAAATAAGTCTTACAGCAATTACATCATCATCGTTGAAAATAATAGAAGATAAAACTTAATTCAGATAAGGTTAAATTGGAAAAAAAAGAAAAGGAACTAATTCTAGAAGAGGTGATATAAGTACCTATAAGAAAACATTATAAAATATTCTAACTTACTATGTTTTAACATTTTTTCTTTTAAAACAATAGAAAAAAGAGCGATGACAGAAGGGACTTATACATATGCTTACTATTAATGATAATTTACTTGATACTTTTCGATCAGCCTTTTTACTGTTAAATGAATTTAAAGAAGATTGTAAATTAATGATGAATGAAAATGCATATCATAGTGATAAAGTATCAGAAACTAATGAAGAACTCACAAATAAGAAATTAAAGAAAAATTCAACTGAAAACAAAAGCTGATCAAATCATGTTATTCATATTTATAACAATGTTATATGAGATATTTATGATTATTTATTAATATTTTCTGATATTTTATTAATAATTCAAAATTATATATAATAATTCATATGGTTATAAGAAGATTATCAGAATAATATAGATATATGATTCTTTACTGATTTAGTTTGATGTATACAAAGTATTTATGCCATATAATTTACCAGCTTTATCCAGAATCTTAGCAAGAATTAGTGTAGGATCAGAAATGATTACTGGAATAGTATCATAGCAGAATTATCGAAGAATCGGTAAATAATCAGTATCATGATTTCGTCCTTAAATGTCTTCATTTGACCTGTATTATGAACTATATAAAGAGAAAGAAAACAATTATTAGGAAACTAAAATAGATAATTTTAATTTGAAAACTATAATTATTATACAAAAAATTTGATATATTAAATAGTTCTATCCATTAATAAAAGATTTAAATATATTATTATATTTAATTAATATTCTATTATAAAATATGAAATAGCTATAATAGAAATTTTATTTTAGTATTATATTTTTTAAATAATAAAGAAAAACTTTTAAAACCATAAAAAAATCACAATAAAATTACAAACCTTAAACCAGTTTAATATATTTTTTATATTAAAATTGTTTATAATACTTTTACAGAAAAGATCTTAAAACTATTGAACCGTTTAACTTTTAAAACTTACAAAAATGTTTTTGAGAAGTTGAATTAACGAATATGCGAGACAATGTCGCACAGTTGTATTCTACGCAGAGTCAAAAAGGTGGGGTCTACTAATTTAGCCCCCAGTCTCCGATTGGCTGGTATAATCGATTATGCTTATTTGTGACATCCATAGCGTGACAAATAAACCACCGAAAAAATTCTCTGTCCCTCAAAAATATAATAAAAAATTGAAACATCACCAGTGTCACATCGGTGACAAATCACCTAACACCTAACCCTAACCCTAACCCTAACTAATCTCAACTATAACAACCAATCATAGCGTGGGGGGTAAATTAATAAACCAAAAAAGTGGCGAAAAAGCATATATATAAATGTCATTTGTCATGATCAACATGCGACATGTCCGACGCTTTTACATGGACTAGCAAAATGTACCTCCGAGGTTTTTATGTCTAATTAATTATATCGTTCTAATTTTAGATTGCCGATCTTTTTTTCAAAAACAACTTTTTATTTGATTAAATAAATTATTATATAGTTAAGCATGTTCGACTTATATAAATAAAAAAAAAAATTGATCCATATGCTATTGTATACACTATATAAATAGTTTGTGTAACAGATGATCATTAAGAAACTCGACCGAAAAAATAAAAATTGAGACGGCTCGATCGAATCATGTTGTAAACAATAAATATGGTTGGTTACTGGCACGCGTCACGTTAGTTTATCAGGATCGATCAGAGACGAACACCTATTTTTTGACTGAACCGCTGATCGATTTAATAACCAATCATTTAAGGGCACATTTTGCGGTCAATCCGATCCGATCTAGAATTGAACAGGGCTTCTGTCATGCTTATGCCATCAATTAATCTCAAACAGTTACACATTGCATTTATATTATTATACTTAAACAATAGAAATTTTGAAATTTTTTTTTTATATAAAGAATGTTTTGCTCCTCATAAAAATCAAATAAAAATTTAAGATGAATTTGTCAGGAACCAATTCTTTATATTTTATAGCGATTTTTATATTATTTATAAATCCATTATGCTTATTTTCTTATAAAACATTTTCTTATAATGAAACTGAACCTGGATTTCAGGTTTATCAATTATTAACTTATTATGACGGAACTTCGGTGGTTTACTTGAATAAACCGATAAATGGAACCTGCAGCGAACCAAGAATTATCCTTCGCATTATACATCCAAATGGCACAGTCGATAAAGCAGAAGTGGATTATCCAATCCCAGATTTTAATTTTTGCATTATACCAAATGATATATCGATGTCTTTACATCTTGTGCTTTATCGCCATTTGCCGGATTATATCTATGTTCTTTACGAGAACTCTACCGATATAAATTCGGCAAGCTATTTTGCATTACATGTTACTCGCACTGGAAAATTCATTAGGTTTATATATATCTTTCTTTAGAATGATATCATTAATTATTTAATTAAATATTTACTTAAATCTTTATATAAAAGTAATACATATATTTCACGCGTTTCCGTAATCAATGGAGCATTTTCAAAATTTGGAAATATGGTTCTACACACAAACGAGGAAAACGGCTTTCTTTTTTACAATCCTTTAACTGAAACGATTACGGAATGGATTTACTTTAACAATTCGTAAGTTGTAACGTTTAGCAATATCAATTAAATACAAACGATATTGATAATAATTAAATGCGTTCTTAGTGATTCGAATGGAAATTTTCTACCAATAAATAATGGTCGTTTTGATCAAGAAATATCAGATATTTTTCCCACAATCGATGGAAATTTTGGAATAGTAACTAGAATTCATAAAAGTACTTCAAATAGCCCTCATGGGCTAATTGATCCAACCGAACTAACTTTTGAGCTATATATAACCTTCATTGGACCAAATAAAAATGCTGATGGCCCATATTTACTTTACCAAACTTCAATACCGAATTTACAAATTCAATCTAGTTGCAATGTTGCTTATACAACTAGGGGCTATTTTTGCATTCTGAATATGAAAGATGAACAGAATGAAGATCCTAAATATCATGTGATTAAAATTATATTTCAAAATTCAGGGTTTGTACGACTTATGTTAATTTTTAATTTTTATTTAATAACGATAACAATTTATTAATTCAATTTACAACACAGTTCGGTTGTTGATGTTGAAACATTTTCAGATATCGAATTATATAGAAATTTAAATGAAAATGAATTTGTAATAATTAGTAATGTATATCATGGAGGTTTTTTGTTGACGATTTTTAAAGATTCGGAAGATACTCTTTATAAGACATTTCAATCCGTCATACTTGATAATAATGGAAATTACAATAACACATTGGACCTTCCAGAAAATATAAAAATTATTAATAACTATTCAACAGGAGGTTTTCGAAATAACACATTTGTCATTGTTCACCAAGAAGATAATTATACTTGGGAAATTTACTCTGCAGATATTCCAAAGTTCACATCTAATGGTAAATTTTCTAATCAGTAAACCTTTTATTCATTTTAATTTTTAACTCGATGTTTACACTATTTAGATAATGGTTATAATAATCCAAATATTAAAGCTACTTATCCATCAATTAATTCCAAGATACCTTTATCATTAACTAATATTAATATCACATATAACTTTCAAGTAACAACATCGATAAACAAAATTTTTATTTATCAAGTTAATAATAGCGATTCTACATTGCGACAAACCATTCCAGGCAACTCTCTATCATTTACATATAGTGCTGACAATAGAACAATAAATATAAGTATTTTAGAAAGTACATTTAATCAACCAAATGCAAAGTATTACATTGTAATTGAAGATAATGTTGTTAACGATTTGGAAACAAATCAACCTATAATAGGAATTGGAAGTAATATTTGGGAGTTTAATACTGGTAAATAATTGCTTAATAATAATATTTGTAATTATTCGAATTTTTTAATTAATTATTTTCATTATATTGATTTCAAGTCGACAATCAAGATATTTTTGCGGGTAATTAAACATGTAAATTTTTTAAGAAACTTCGTTTTTAATATTAATTTATTTTAAATTTTCAGAGGATGCGACTGGTCGATTTTCTTTAACGACCGAAGGAACAAAATATTTCAAAAGTCTTTCATCATATAACCAAACAAGATTTTTATTAAATTTAAGAGTTTATTTGGCAAAATCAATACCTTTGGAGATTAATAGATTACATGCTATTAAGTATGAATCTGATAAAAGTCAACGAATACTTCTATCATTATCTATAAAATCAACATCAAATTTAAATGAAAGAAATGTCGATCATATCATAAAAGATTTAGATCTCTTGATTCAATATAAAGAAGTTACGCCTATATCTTTATTCGATACAACAAATTTTATAGATGCAAGTTTTGGCTTTCAACGTACTAGTAAGTAGCTTACCTTGTTATATAAGAAAACATTCCAATAATTACCTAATTCATTTAAATGTTTTATATATTTAGGGAATTTCTTTGATGATGTTAAATTTCATTTAATTGGTATTGTTATTGGAGTAATAATTTTATGTTTGTTTTATCTATATGCTAGGAAAAAGCATTCTACGGTAAAATATTTAGTTATGGATTAAGGCCGGAACTATAGTCAATTCTGCTAGAGTTAAATTTATACAATAATTAACATCTCTCTATCTTTAGGGTAAAAATATTGTAATATTCAAACTTACTTTAGTTATTTTGGATTTTATTTTAGATATTTTATTTATCCAGAATAATGGAAAAAAGGTTCCTCAATTATTTATTCCAAGGTATGTATATACTGTATATATTCAAACATTCTCTTATAATTAATTTTCAAATACTCGCATTACAGTATAATGTTCGTTGTAGTGCCAGTTGCAATAAATTCCACCATAAGTATGATTATAATACTTCAAGAAATTACACAAAATATAAGTTTTTATGAATGGTTTAGAAATAATATCAATACAGCAATTTTATTTACAATATTAGCTGGTGCGGATCTTGAAGTAATAAATATACTTTCTTCTGAAGTTGCTGGAATAATGTTATTTAGTGCTCCTATCGAAAAAAGAACACAATCTTATATATTTTGGGGAAGTCTTTTAGGATTTTTAATTGAGGATATTCCTCAATTTATAATACAAGTAAGCAATTTTACAAATTGTTTATTTATTTATTATTTAATATTAAATTTTAATATATCTATTTTAGGTATATTATAAAAAATTTATCATTACATATGATATTATTCCTTTTTTTACACTTTTAACTAGTTCTTTAGTTTTGATTAATAATATAATTTCTAATTTATATTATATAATAATTCATTCATATGATAAAAAAGTTTCTGTTATAGATCAATTAATTAATAAAAAATTTTGATTTATAATATTAAAAAAAAATAGATATTTTATATAAGTTATAATTGATTTAAATAATTAGAATATTTTATAAAAATAATTTAAATAAATCTATTAAAAAAAATAAATAATTATATGAAATTTAGTAAAATATTTTACTAAAATTTTAATTATTTTTTAGAAATTCTTATAACATCATTATAATATTTTAATAATATCAAATTAATATTAAAACAATATCTTTGTTATTTCAATAATTTTACAATATTGTTAAAATGTTAATTAAGATAATTAGATTAATACTATAATAATATTTACTTAATATATTGATTTAATATTACTTATAATGTAAAATTGATATTAAAATAACATCATTACAATGATTTATCAATATTAAATTAGTATTATAAATAATAATAAATTAATATATTAATAAATATTATTAATAGTAAAATAAAGAATAATATATTTTTTATGATTTATATTAAAAATTATAATTATATAACTTTTTAATTATTTACATGTATCCTTTAAACTGTAAATATAAAATTATTTCTAAAATATTTTAAAAAACTAAAATATTTTATTATCTATTGGTTATAAAAAGATGAAATAAAATTTTAGATTTATTATATTATGATGTATCTAATGTTAATATTTTTAAACTTTTAAAATTAATAATTATTAATATATATTAATTTTTAATTTTAAAATTTTTAAAAATAATTTATTATTTAATAATTATAAAAATATGTTTGATAATAATAATTCTCAATAAATATTTATAATCAAAATCAAATAGAACAACCAGTTGATCTAGTAAAATTTAGTCCTTCTAGCAAAGAATATTAAATAGCAGTGTTATTTTTCTACTTTTGTACCTATTTGAGATTTTCATATATTTATTTATTGAATTTAATTTTTCTTAATAAAATATTACATCATAACATCTTTAAAAAATAATTAATTATAAAAATATAAAACCTATTAAATAGTAGTTTTTTATATTCTAAGATTGATAGATAGTAAAATATATGATGTCACGGTAGAATTCTTTAACTCAGGGTGGTCACATTATTAAGTCTCTACTCGAAATTTCTAACTGTGATCTATTGCAGTCAAGTCATTAGGATCTGCCTAATTCTTAACTTTACTAAATTTACATGTTAGACTTAAACAAATCTATCAAGTATGAAGACTTGAAAGACGAGATTATGAACAATTTAATTAAAAAATTCAGATGACGAACTCAATTACAAATAATATGTAAAGATCACGTCAGACTATATGAAGATACAAAGAGGCAGAAAGATATAAGTTTTGAATGATTTCTTTATTAATATTGAAACTTGTATTCGCAAAAGAGTTAATTTACAATATAAGCAAAAAGTCTATCTATTTATACAAAATTTCTTTTATCACAGTTAACTAATTACTATGCTATAAACTAACTAACTTAGTAAAATAAAATAGTAAAATAAAATAAATATATTAAGAATAATAAACATACGTAAAATAATAAATATAAAATATAATAAAATAACAATAAAATTCAGAATATTAAAAATAAGTATAACACTAAATATTCTTAAACTTTATTTAATTCGTAAAATTAGGATTATCGTCAGTATTTAAAAGATCTTCAGAATTTCATAGATTCTCTATATTTTCAGAATTTGCAGAATTCTCAGTATTTTTAGAATTCTAGATTAAGAGATTGTTATACTACGTCATTCACGTGACTTCATTATGATTGGTCAATTGCTCTGTTGACAATGAATTTAAAATTTTAATATTTTTTATAATTTGTTTATCTTTAAAAAATCACTAATTAATTACAGTTTTTTTAAATTTTTAACTAAAAATATCATAAAATTTATTATAAAAATATTAATTTTTTAAATAATATATTTTAACATATTTAAAATAATTAAAAATAATTGTAATTAATAAATAAAATTACTTGCAAATTTGTAGACAAAATAATTAAAAGGATAATATAATCAATAATAATATTAAATTATATAATTAATAATATGATATAAATAAATTAATTATTTGAAATAAAGCATAAAACTATATATATTTATGAAATAAGTGATTTTTAATTAGATCACATAAATATTTCTATTTATTATATATTTTTTTTTTTTTATTTTAACGTGCGGTAGCTTTGCACAATCTTTATTAAGAGTAAAGTAAAAATACAAATTACAAA